TGAAGACGTCTAAGAATGTTCTCTAATTTCAATGCTTTGTCTATGTAATTCGACATGAGTTTAATTGTTCTATTGGTTGGTTGGCTTGTGATTTTTTTTATCATGGGTTTATTGGTTCACCTATTTGCTAGTTCACTATTTCTATTTGTTCACCCTGTCTACAGGAACAACAACAATAATAAGCCTTTATCCCATTATGTGGGGTCGGCTACATGAATTCTTTCTTTTTCTCCAATTCTTTTTCTCCATTATGTTCTATTGAGTGTCATATTTTCATTTAATTTTAAAAAATTAAGATCATTTTTTTACACAACATGCCAAAGTCTTTTAAGGTATACCTCTACCTTTCTTAACATAAGTCGAATCTAAAACATCTACACTCCTAACCAGATCATCAGATGGTTGATGTTTTATGTGACCAAACCATCTAAGACGACTCTCTCCAATCTTGTCTGCCATTGGAGTTAAACCAACTCTTTAATGGATATATTCGTTTCGGATTTTGTCTCTAAGTTTAAAGCAACTCATCCACCCAAGCATTCTTATCTCAACAACACTTAGGGGTTGTTTGGTAGCATATTATTTATTGGATTTAAACATGGATTTAACTTATATTCAGCCAAATACCGAAAAAAATTTGAATCCAATGCTCAGTTAAATCCAATTTTTGCTTGTTCAATCCTATTTCTCCCGTGTTCTGTCACTTTTTGGATGTAAATCTGGATTTCATAAATTCAATTGCGAGCAGGATTTATTCTCTTTCGCCTGCGATCCCTTCTCATCATCGATCAGGGTTGTGTAAATTCGAATTTATCAGATTTGATAAATCCTATTTAAGGTAAATCTGTCATGCAGCTAAACGCTGCCTTAACTTTAGTTGTATGTTTCTTTTTTATAAGCAACATTCTGCGCATAAAGCATTGTAAGTCCCACCATCTTATAAAAATTTCCTTTTAAGTCCAAGCGCTCTATCACACAATTGGCGTGAAGCATTCCTGTATTTCAACCATCAACTTAATTGTAATAATATCATCTCCATTTATATCACCATCACTTTGAACAATAGACATGAGATATATAAAATGTTTGCTCATTTTTATGATGTGATCACTCATTGTTACAACTCTGTCATTAGATCTACTACACTAAAATTACATTCCATATATTCTGTTTTAGATCTATTCAAATGAAGGCCTTTAGACTCTAAGGTAGAACTTTCTAATTCAAGTTTTTCCTTAACTCTTTTCCTAATTTTATCCACAAGAAGGATATCATCAGCGAAAAGCGTACACCAAGGTGCATCGTCCTGTAAATGTACAGTAAGGGCATCCATAACTAAAGAAAAAGTTGTTGGCTTAAAACCGATCCTTGATGTAATCAACTGAAATAGGAAAATGCTTGGTCAATCCTCCTGTTCGAACACAAGCAACAATCTAGTATACATACCTTTAGTGACTTGAACATAAGTCATGTCAACACCATTCTTTTCTAGAACCCTCCAAAAACTTCTATAGGAATATTATCGTAATCTTTTTTCTAAATCAATAAAAATCATATGTAGATCCTTCTTACTCTCTATACTTCTCTATCAAACTTCTCAATAAATATATAGCTTCCATAGTAGACTTGCCTGACATAAATCTGAACAAATTATGAGAAATTTTGTATCACGTCTTAACACACTTCTTTATCCAGATCAAAACCATGCTCGCCCGCTCCTTCCTCTGCTTTATAGCGCACAATGAGATCGCAACGCACGGGGATCTTCGAAAATCCCATCTTTCTCTTCTTTTGCTCCGTCTCCATTGCACAAGACCAAGCCCAACCTAACCAAAGCAAAACCCTCTTCTTCCTTTGTCATTCAGAGCCTGAACCATAATCTTATATAATATATAATATTCCTATATATAATGAGAGGGAGATATATATAAAGAGAGAGAGAGAGAGAGAGAGAGGATATATGGTAATTCATCGGCTCGTCAATTTGATTTCTCCATCATTGTCGCCACCTCGCAAGCAAATGTGTAAATTCACGAAGAAATATGCTTGAATAACTTTTCATGCAGTCTAATCGAAGGCCCAACGTATCTTATAGACCGTGGGTTAAAATATATTTTTTCCTCACTGGTCTTAGTATTTCATAACACTAACCAACACATTTTATAGACATTTGAGCATATCAAACACCCCCTTTGCAGCCCCCTAAACAGGGAATACATTGAGAGGCAGCTGAAATTTTTGGTGCTTAGACTTGCAAATGCTTTTAAAAAACTAAATTATATGGACTTTGAAATGATATAAATATAAAAATAAATTGAAACATAAATTATGAATTAAAAGTCTCCAAGACGATTATATTTGAAAGTGATCAAATAAAAATCTAATGTCTTAATGCAAATAATTTTTTATATGATTTATTTAAATACATAAAGTGGGGCATGTATATGCATCTAAACAACAAAGTTTTGGTGTAATAAGCAAATTTTAGTTGATTTTAAGTCGTGCACTTGCATTTCAAGTTAGTTTACAACTACATTATACTATTTTCAAAGTGTATAGTGCATTACGATGCATATGCATTAGCGAAGTAAACTTGTATGTGTTCCACCAAATTGACTAAATGTCTAAATTTAAATAATCTGAGAATGTTGCACAGGTTCAAATGAGATTTTATCTCAAATTGCTCTCATTTTTTAAAAGTTTTCCTTGTTAAATAGTCTATGCTTATGTTAAAGTTACTAAATCTCTTCTTTGAAATCAAAGTTAGGATAATTAAATTATACAAGCTCAATAGTGTTGCTTTGTTTATAGGAGAATGATGAAAGTCCCACTCAATTTGTCTGATCTTCCTCACAAGGATTGGAGTAAAAGAGTCTAGTAATTTCATCAATATATAAATAACAAGTATAAAAATTTATAAGTCCAAATCACCTAATCTGATCCTTTTCACAAGATTTGGAATTGACAAGGCTAACATTTTATAATTATTCAAGTGTCAATTTTAAATGAATTCAAACAATATGTTTTCAAATGTCCTAATTCCCCGATGATGGCAAGATTAATAGAAAATTTAGACCAAATTAGTCTATTTTAAAGTTAAATTGCAAAATATATTTGAACAAACATAGATAATATGTGTGTGTGTATATATATATATATATATAAAAAAAATGAACATGATTCTCTGTAAAAGGGACAAAGTCAACAAAATTCAAAATTACCTAAATCCCTAAAAATGGCCAAGTTAATAGGAAATATCAAATGGAGGGGTCAAAGTATAAGTCAAGCCTTCCAAATAAAGTTTAAAAAATAAACAAATTCATATGTCCAAGTTAAAATCAATTACTGCAAAGTTAAAAACAAACTTCATACAGCTTCAACAATAATTTGTCGATGGTGGCAAACTTTTGATTGACAAAGAGTGAATACCATATCGAGTTTATCTATGTATTCATGCTCAAAACAATCTCACGTCAGTAAAGACATAGCTCAAGTCCTCTTTCTACTTGGTTCGACCCAACAACTCCACAAAAAATAACGGTTATGACCAAAACCATTTGAACGGGTGGTTGTTGTCAAATGACATCATTATATTATGGTCACGGCCGTAGCAGTTTGTTTCCCAAAGGCTTTTTATCATTTTTGTGAACTATAAAGGTATATTTAATTGACACAATCTTCTGTCAACTAATATCGACTTAAATTTGTTCTCTTAGATAAATATTCACCTCATATTTATAAGGTTTTTATGGACGATATAATTCATGGTTGTTGATAATGATCTTTTAGTTTGGTTGGGTTGACTACTTCCTCTGATTAAGTAGATCAAAGACAACGACGATCCGAGCAACAAAACAATGGGATCTTTATCGGGTTTGTCACCATTGCACCAACCACTTGCTTTAAGTTCAAGATGATAAATTTTACAATCTAAAACTCTTAACTCTGATGCTACTATATGTTGAATATTCAATCTAAAACATTAATCGAAAATGCTCTCCCATCACTGGTAGGGGTAATTATCAATAGGGGCTTGTGGTTATGGGAAATCTCGAACCCCAGCTCAAAAAGTCCTCGCAAAATTGCGGCAAAATTTTTTAGTATATTATCTTATATACAATCCAATTCGCCCTCTAAAAATTTGACCTGGAACATTAAATAAAAAGCTCTCAACATCAAAAGTCTGGGGAGTCAAATTTTTGGAGCGAGCATTTATTGGTACTTATTTATGCATCAGTATGACTAGAAACTTTAGGTTTATATTACTAACATTCAGAACCTATTTGTGCGACATTTTAGAGATTTCTCTTTTGCCTTTTTAATGAAGAGGCTAGAAGTTTGAACATTAGTTGGTTTGGGAAATTCTCGTGGGCTGCCAATAGAGTTAGGTCTTAGATTATATGGAGAGATTGATGGATGTATGGAACATAATCATTTGCTTAATAGAAGTTCAAATTTTGTCCAATCTTGAGCCGTGAGTTGTATGCTTCCTTCCAACATTGTGCAAAAAAGACTACTAATTTTTAAGGAGGTCATCTCGTATTGACATTAGTCTTGATTTTCCTTTGATTTGGAAATTGTTTCCATGCCCTTTTTTTTCATCATAATACATTATTGATTGTTACAAACATGATTGATTTTAATCAAATCTATTACAACTAGCTTATTTGTTTGTGATGTGTTTCAACCGACTTGAGAGATTTGGTGATTTTATTTTTTGCTAAACTTCTATGATCTGACCAATAATTATAGTTTTGTTTGGCATATTTATCTAGTATTTTTGTGTTTACATCAAAATAGAATTGAGTTTTTGTTTTAATTGATGGTATATATAACTAGAAATTTTAAACTGGGTTCCTTGATTTTATATTTTCCTTCATGTAGTTGTATATTGAATTTTAAAAAGACATACTATAGCAGGTTTCATGTTTTTTTCTTTTAATATTTTACTAATGTATTTTCTAGTCCAAGAATAAAATTTTGTGGACGCCTCTTTGCAGGACGTTTCCTTGGAACAATCAATCTATTGGGGGCATTGTTTGATGCTAGCATAATTGCTGTATCTTGCTGATTCGAATCTTTTGCTATTCAGATCCTTCTTTTGATTGAGCATTTATGGTATTCATTGACCTTAGTTATGTTATTCTTTTCTGCATCATATCCTTACATGATTATTGTGTTGCTGATGAGTATAAATTGATTTAATTATCTTATCACTTTATTACCTACCAATTATAGTTGTGCAGAGGTTTCATTTGAGATAACTTTTTGACAGCTTTTATGGTAAGAAAACTGTCAGCAAAAATCAGATGACAAAATTATACTTGCTTTTTCAAGCTTTTATACTACATTGTTATTCTTTTCTGCATCATATCCTTACATGGCTATAGTTTAGCTGATGAATATAAATTGATTTAATTATCTTTTCACTTTATTACCTACCAATTATAGTTGTTCATAGGCTTCATTTGGGATAACTTTTTGACAGCTTTTATTGGTGAGAAAACTTTCAGTAAAAAGAGGATGAAAAATTCATACTTACCTTTTAAAGCATTTATACTCCATTGTTATTCTTTTCTGCATCTTATCCTTACATGACTATAGTGTAGCTGATGAATATAAATTGATTTAATTATCTTGTCACTTTATTACCTAAAATTATAGTTGTGCACAGGCTTCATTTGAGATAACTTTTTGACTGCTTTTATTGGTAAGAAAACCTTCAGCAAAAATTAGATGAAAAAGTTATACTTCTTTTTTCAAGCTTTTATACTACATTGTGTTCCCACCC